GAGAGAGAGAGAGAGAGAGAGAGAGAGAGAGAGAGAGAGAGAGAGAGAGAGAGAGAGAGTCTCACTGGTCCCAGAGCTAGACTGGCAAGTCCCAGGGATCTTCCTGTCTCTGCTTCTACAGTGCTGGGATTATAGGTGCACACCATCAGGGCAACTTTCTATGTGGGTCGCTGGACATTCAAACTCAGGTCCTCATACTCGTGCAGCAAGCCCTTCACACACACACACACACACACACACACACACACACACACACACACACACACACACACCAGCCTAATGAATGCTTTTCATAAGAGCGAAATGCAAGGGAATCAAAAAGAAGGGAATGATTAACTCTAGAGACGGGAGTCTCACTCCCGAGGAGCCCCTTTGAAGCTGGTTATTTAGGATCTCATCAGGCAGAGGCCAAGTCTGTAGCATTCCAAGACCAAAAGAAACAACTGCCTGTGCCGTTGCCAAGCAAACCACACCCTGTTCAGTCCTATTGTATCCGCAAAGGCCTATTTTTATTCATTGTCCTCATAACCACTTTTTAAAACAAAAAGAGAATGTGGGCTAAGTCCCTTCTTTGAAATCAGGTATTTTATAGGACAAAGAAAGGGGACTCTGAAGAGGGGTTGTGGAGGTTGACTACTGGTGAGTCCAGAATTCACCCAAGGAGTAGAAATGGACACTCACTCTTCCCTTCCCTTTTTCTGAAAACTGAACCGAGGCGGCTGCCCTAGAATGTTGCCACGGGTCCTCTGAGCTAAGAAAGCAGGAGGGAATGATACCCCAACCACAGATGCCGCTTTGTGACAAGCATGCCCGGACCAGGAATGAGGGCCCTACTTCCTCCCTTTGCTGACCTTCAGATCCCTCTAGGAGAGCAGGCACCACCCAGCCTCCCTCCCAGACAAGCCCTGCTAGGCCTCTGAGACCAGAGCTTGCTGCTTCTGAGTGGGAGGAAAAAAACGTCTCGGGAAAGCAGCCAGGACAGAGGAAAGGCCGGCAGACACCTACCGAAGGGCACAGGGGCCCCCATCCTCCCCGTGGTACACCCATGGGCAAGCAGGGAGGTGGGAAACAGCATCCTAGCCTCCCACTCTGCATCCCTCTTCCTTGTTTTTCCCAGGAAGCCTCTACCTTGCAGACCCTGCCAGAAGGCCGGCGGCATTTTCATGAAGCAGTAATAACAAGGACAGAGCGTTCTAGCCTGCCGGAGCCTGCTGGCTGGTCACTCTTTCCACTGCCTTTTGTTTTCATGCATCATTCCTCTCACTTGCCTCTCAGATTCCTCAGGGCTTTGAAAAAGCCACACAGTGACATCACCCAGCGGGCTGGCTGGCATCTCTGACATGCACCCTGCCCTAGGCATTGACACGTATCTAGAGCTTCCAGAAAGGGACCACCTCCTATCAGCGTAGCTGGCAGAGGTAGGGCTTTAAGTGCCGCCCAGTGGACTGGTAAATCACATCCTACCGTCTTGTTCAAATGCATCTGCAGTGCCGGGCCTGGTGCTGCACAACCATAATTCTAGCTCTTGAACCGCCGAGGCAGGAGGATTGCAATCTCCACACCACCTGTCTCAAATTGAAAAAATACAACTGAAAAGGGAAAAACAAAGAAAAATAGATCTGCAAGGTTTGTTGGGCACACTTTCTTTCTTAGATGATCCAAGCACAGCCAACATGGATGTGTCTAACCAAACACAGAGAAGTCTCACTATGACAGTTTCAATGTGAACCGGCTCTCGTGGTTCATGTGTTAACACTTAGTGCCAGCTGGTGGCGCTGTTCTGTGGGATTGTTGAACTGTGACTGGCAGAGGTGAGTCATTCAGGGTGGGGTTTTGAAGGTTACAGCCTAGCTCCCTTTCCTATTGAGTTTACTGCTTCCTGGTCAGCCACAATGTGAATAATCTTCAAAAAGACCAGCCAACCGCAAGGCCATGGTCTCCCCTCCATAGTAGACCATGTTTTCTGAAACCAGGAACCAACATAAAACTCTCCTCCCCTAAGCTGATGCCAGCAGGTATGTTACTGTCACAGTGGCGTAAAAGTCACTGACACTCGTGTGTCAGTGTGTCAGATGGCTGTACAGATGCCTGTTCAGAGCAGACAGGACTTCAGGCCTTCAAAATCATCCGAAGCCTATTCCCAGCCATCTTCTTAAGCTACCCTACTGGATGTTTACTTCCTAATACTTTAAAAACATTTTGCATGTATTTATTTATTTAGTGTGGGGAGGCCACAGCACAAGTGTAGAGGTCAGAGGACAACTGGAAGAAGTTGGTCCTCTCTTCTCGCTATGTGTCTGGGGCATCAAACTCAGGCTGTTAGGCTTGGCAGAAGCTCCTGTGCCCACTGAGCCATCTCTCCAGCATGATATTGACTTTAAAAACTTACTGGTATTGGTTCTCAATGTGGAGCAAGAGACATTCTCGTAAATCATTGATGAGAGAAAAAAATTGGTTCAGCTACTGTGCAGAGTAACCTCGAAAGCAATCTGGTAAAGTCAAAAGTGCATATCCATTTCCTGGCAATGTCTACCCCAATTTATACTCCAAATTCCTACATGTGTCTCAGGCGATATGAAAACCCAAAAATCTCAAAAAAAAAAAAAAAAAAAAAAAAAAAAAAAAAAAAAGACAAACCAACAACAAAACTATTGACCTGATGAATTTCTACTTACGGGAGACTAGAGTCTAAAGTAATTATGCAACAGGGTAATAGTCTTTCAGTGCTCCATAGTATAAAATTACCGTGTTATAAAGAACAGATTAGTTCTATTAGCATCATATACATAAATCTCAAAGTAATGATGATGAGAAAAAGGCTGTAGGAAAATATATATGCTACTTACATACATGCTTGACACTCCAAACTAGTATTTTGTGCAGTTTAAAGCATCTTTAAGAAATTGGTTGCTTCTTGGGAAAGTTGAGATGCAAAGGACTTTGAAAACCAGATACTTTCTTCATTTAAAAATATGAAAAGGGCACTAGGGAGGCAAAGGCAGGTAGATCTCTGAATTCAAGGCCAAATCTGGTCTACAGAGTGAGTTCCCGGACACCCAGGGCTGCAAAAAGAAACCCTGGGCCGGGCGGTGGTGGCGCACGCCTTTAATCCCAGCACTCGGGAGGCAGAGCCAGGCAGATCTCTCTGAGTTTGAGGTCAGCCTGGTCT